TTCGTCTACTTTTCGTTTTACCTACTTAACGTGTTGGAGAGAGCATGGAACTTTCTTGTCTGATATTCAAATTTAAAATTAAATACGGAAAACATCCACAATCAAAAAGTCAATCTTTGGAGGTCGAAGACTAGACAACTAACCCAAACTAACTCAAATTAAATATTTTCAATTTTTTATGAAAATGTTCACTAATTTTTTAATTCGATATAATAACTTTAAAAAGTTGTAAATAATTCAGCAATTTTGGAGAATTAGCTTCTTATGATCAAATTATGTGGTTTGTCTATTCTAAGTTTGTGTGAGGTTTCCTTGTCACGACAAATCTGAAGAATCGGTTATTTATTTTATAATCATTAAGTTTATATTAATKTATTATCAATTTAAAATTATTACTATTRAAACTCTAAATAAGAATTATTTTGTGCTTTCTTTATTTTTTAGTTTAGAAGAAAACGAGCTCATGTTCACTTATCCTGAGRCATAATTCACTAGAAGAAAATTTCTATTTTAAGCCATGCGAAACCGCAAGTTATTACAGGAACGTTTGCCTATGATAGMAAATTTAATAAATATACAGAAAAATATTATAGATTTAAGAAGACCTACCGAATTWAGTCTTTAATGTTTAGCTTTTAATAACGTGAGTGTTTCACGTTCAAAACATGATGATAAATGTTATAAAGCTTCGACAATCTGATTTTTTATCAARTAAACTATTTGTGTTATCAAGAATGTAAATRCCTGAATTGAATTGCTTAAAGTGTACTAACTCCATTGAACACTTATTATTAAAAGCATATTTCTTMGTGGGCAATCCGATTTAGACGTAATTTTCTGTGATACTAGTTAAAAATACAAGCTTGGTTTATAACAGCTGAAAAYAATTTACAACAATCTATAAAACGTCAGTAATATTAAATTTTCCTTCTCAAAAGGTTTCCAAATGTATTAGTAATTTCGAACTACAAATCAACCCTGTGAACCTCCAATCTCCAGCGCTACTCACGATCCGAAGACCTTCAAAATTGCCCATCTTCATTGCTCTGAAGAAACACTTTCACTTGGCGAGCTTGGCCAAATTATATAAATAAAGCTACGAAGATGCTCTTCAACATAAACTTGTGGATCTTCAGTCTAGGTCTACATTTTTAAATCGTAGCGTATATTGCGAGTGTGCATTTACCGACATGCGTTCTTACGTGGTAAGTGACAGTTTTAGTGGTAATTTATTCGACCAGGATTTTGCTAAATCAATGAGGCAAAGACAACGGTTTTGTGAATTTTTGTTTCATTACCAGTGTACCGACGATAACGTTCTTAATTTTTATTGTGTAGTAATCGGTTTAGAAAAAATATTGAAATACTATTTTAATAAGCATTTTTACTTGAAACAATAACGTTTTTTTTTCTTTCAAATATTATTATTTAAAATACCGTAAACATGTTGCTATCGAATGCAATCAAAAAGTTTTTATTAGAATTTTGCCCGAATGTATACTTTTTATATTGTACTAAAAAAGCGTAAGCACACTGCACACTGGTACTACATAAAATTTAGAAAAAGCTTATTTTAAAATATTTTCAACAAAAACCAGCTAAAGCACAATAAATAAAGTAGTTCAACTAACTTAACATCAAAATAAGAAAGTGTTATTTTTAGGGATTTAAAATATTTAATTTTCCTCTCAGAAAAATTGACAAAGCGAATTTGCGAATTACAGATACATGTGACCAAATAATGGAATATTACATTACTATTACATAATGCTGTTTATGAAATATAAATAGCTGAAGAAGATGCAGTAAGCTTGACAGTGCAAACAAGATTAGAAAGTTTTTAACAAGTCATTTAGAGCTAAAACTAATGTTTCTTCGTTTTATATCTCATTATCCTGGACAATAACCGTTTTCTCCAATCAACAGCATTCAGCGAGAGCTCTTTTCAAAGCAGCATTTGTACATTGTACAACATAATTTAAAGAAAGCGCAATTAAATTTACTGTGAAGATAATACAAGTGGTAAATTTGTCAAGCTGCGCTTGATATTTCAACACCGGAAGAAGATAATCATCTGAAAAAATGCTCGTTATCGTGTGCTCTTTCAAGTAGCTTAAATACAAATGCTAAAATTGCAGAAACTACTTGTGTGCAACCGTACATTTAAAAGACGATAGTCTCTGATAAGTATGCAGCAAGATTTCTTCACTCACTATTTTCGATGACCTGCAACATTTAATGAAAGTAAACGTGTGTTCAAAGTCGAGGATCCCATTAGCACAACTATTGGAACTATCACTTTTCATCTTTATCAATTTCTTTCATTACTATGAACGGGTTTCTGAATAGAGGTCAATGGTAAGCGGCGTCGTCCAGCTAGTTCAGTGTCAGTTTTGTTATGATTTATTTATGCAGAAGTTATTTAGATTTCCATTTTAAGAACTGGTTTGGATTTTCCTTACTGTGTGAAAAGTTGAGAATTTTCTCCCTCTCAATTTTTATATGCAAATAATAACTTGGTTGAATATAATGGTTAGATCCAAAATTTTCTTAATATTAGTTAGATCCATTTGAGTAACTCTCGTCACTTGCAAATCTCTAGGGAAAGCTCTTTAGCATATGAAGACGCCAGATTGATGACTAGATTACGACTGTCCGAAGATGGGCCATGCCATAAAGATGTTTGGTAGAACATATTGTAGGCAAACATTAACTACTTGTGTCACTATTGCGTACTTCCCAACTAGGGCTATCATAAGAGTTAAATAACCGAACCCGGAAATGATTGGATATTCTTTTATCTTAAACTTTTACTTTTCTGCTTTCGCTCCGGGTAATGCATTAAAATGTATTATCTCTTATGCGCCTATGACATCGAATTAGCGGAAGCTTTGTATTTCTTAAATAATTGACGGGATCTATTTACTTCGCTTTCRAAAGACGTTTATTTAATGACTAAATTGTTCCTATCTATTCAGRTAACATTTCTGATAAATGAATTGTTCGATTTTAGATACCCATTTATAATTTTATTTTTGTTATTGTATGTTATTGTTGAAATGTCACTTTCTTATACTGGGTTCTGATTTCGCCTGTAACMGTTGAGTCACGGATTTATGTAAATTCAGATAATGTGGTTATTTATTCAGAGGATTAATACTAATTGAAGCACATAATTTCCAATTTGTCTCAAGTATTACCAACATTTTTAAAGAGATGAGCGCAATAAATCGTTAATCATTTAAAACATTTATGGTGAATTCGGTCAGCTCATGTGGATTTAATAACAAAATTGCTGCACTTCAAATGTTTACTCAGCTCTTAAAATGAACAGCTATTTACACTTAAATGTTTGCTTTAGTTAAATTTTATCACATTGCCATTAGCAATGATTTAACAGATGAGATGAGAACAATTGAACACATCAGATGTTCGGAATGTTTAATATTAGCACATCAATTGTATTTACATCAGTTGACCTGATTGACATAATGGTTTCAGTGTTTGATGCGTTATATGTGTATCTTTCACGATTTTCAATGTTTTCTTTGCGTTGTGCAATAATAATTAGTATTCACTGCCTTGAATACGTAGATAGTTTTCAAGAAAATCGGTTTAATTGACATTCTTACCGCGCTAAATAGGCAAGGTGATTAACGGAATATGGCAAAGAAAACTAAGAGAAATGCTGCGAATGTGTTACCATGAAATGCTATAAACTATTTAAGGCGTGTTTATCATTATGTGACTCCTATTGTTGATTAAAACCTTTTGTGTGAGATGCGATAACAAGATATTATATTTTTTATATTTTCCTCTAATTACACGTTTTAGCATTATCCAGTATTATTGAACTCGCAACACGTGTAGCTAGTGGTAAAATTGAACTTTTCCAAAGAAAGATGTAATTTTTTACCCGATTTCAACCCTACAACCAGTTTTATGCCGAATAAGTCAGTATGTCGTAGAGAAAAATCTTTCAACATTTACACGAATAATCGAATTTAACTTCAGAAAAGCGGCACTTTTCCTGCGCTAACATTTACATGTTCCCTTAGAGTGATTTAACAAATTAATTTTTGTTTTACTTATTTATTTTTCATACATACACCCAGCTTTAGAACGCAACATTTACAATATAAATTTTGAATAGGATCGAATCTGTCCTAAGGGATGCTGTTCTACTTACTAAAAACCAATCAATGGTGGACGTTTTCGTTAGAAAATTTTAATTCTTCTATTAATCGATATGATTGGTATGCTATCGTCCAGAAAATTGCAAAGGCTAAATTAATTTAAAAATACTATGACATGTAGTATTAAGCACAAGTAAATTAGGACCACGCTTGAAGACAGTAATATTTTTTTAAATTGCTATATATTATAAAATGCAAACTTAATCAGTTGTGGACGGCACAACTTCAATCAAGTCACAAGTTATTTTGTTTTGCTACTATTGTTCTTTTTTGTATTTACAATGAAAATCGCCTTCGATTGACTGAAAGTATGAATTGTTTTGCAAAAAAATCCTCTGCAATATTTGCCCTATTACTTAACCTATTGCTAAAAGAACCTTTACACAGGCATAGGCCTATGGTTTTCAAATTACAGAAGCTCATTTAGCATTTAGCAAAAGTAGGTCTAGATAAGATATAATTGTTCGCAATATGTCGATAACAAAGCCTACTGTTTAATGAATGCGTTTTTCTCTGGCTTTAAGTGCAGAAATTGGCTAATATGGAAGAAAAACTGAATGCCTATTAAATGTACATAGATCTATCCTACTGTTTACTAATTGCAGGATTAAGTACAAGGTGACGTTGCATCATTTACTTAGCAGAAGAATTTAAAACAATATTTATTATTTATAGAATAACGTTTAAATAACTCAGCCCTAATTGATAGTTATATGTTTGTTTCAGATGAAAAAACGTAGGCTAAGATCAAATTCTTGTTTGCTTTATAGCTGTATTTTTGACTATTTTTATTTTTCATTTCAGGTTACACTTGCTCTTTGCAGTTTGCTCTCCGCTTCCAATGCAGGCCACTTGCAAAAGCGTGACGGTGAGTGCATTTGATAATAGGGTATCGTTCTTTGGTGTTATTTTCAAATACTGTTATTACAAAGGAATGTGTGCCTTTATTCCTGATGAAATAAGCGAAAACTACAATTAAATCCGTCAATCGGTGAAATAATTTCTATGGCGATTTTCACTTTTCAACGTTTCTAAAGCGGAATTATTCGATGTCAATATTTCCGCAAACTGCGCTTTGAGGACGATTAAAAAAGGTTTTTTAAATTATATTTTGAAAGGTGTCTTAGTTTCGTTATAAAATCTTTTTGGTTTGTCGGAATTGGAATGAAAAGCCGCGAACAAAAAGTAATTCCGATAATAATCAGGACAATCAAACTTTGTTATATTTAGTAGCATAGCAAATAAAACAATTGTCGAATATAAACTATTACGCAATTACTGAAACATTTAAAAATTGCATTTATTTTTGAAATCACTATGAAATAAAATTCTAACTAATCTTATTTTAATAACGGATGCTTAAATTACACCAGAGCGTAAGACGGTATAATTAACAGAAGTTGAAAATTCCGTTCAGAGCAGAAAATCCCATTGAAGGTTAACAAACCGACTAGAATTTAATATTCATAGCAGCTGATGAATTAAATATGCTTAACAGTTCTGTTGATCTCGTCTGTTTTCCGGTAGTAGTAAATTATGATTTCTGAACTTATTCGAAAAAATCATACGACACCGATTAAAAAGCGATTTATATTTTTGGTGATTTTTATCATGTGGGCATTTTTTGGAGGCATAAAAGTAAGTGTGACAGATTTAATCATGTTTTGATCTGTAATGTGTTTTTTCTATCTTGATAATGTTTTTTTTTCAACTACAACTGTATGTTTAGTTTTTTTATTTGATAAAGACATATATTAAGAACTAGTGATTCACCAGTAAACTTGCAATTTAAGATTGTGCAGAGTAAAACTGTTCTGTTGTTGGTCTGGACTAAAGAATGTTACCTTACCTTGACCCCTGAATCAATTTAAGAAAACACTTGGAGAAATAGCGAAATGAACCTTTCAAATATCGCGTGAAAGTAAACGGATTGATTCCAATAGAAGAAGAGCTTTATGAAAAAAATATTTGAACTCCAGTTTTAAAACACGTGCTTCTATGCTCAGCTCCACTAGGTGGGGGATACTCATCTGGAAGACCTGGAGGTAGCTACTTACCTCCATCCAATGGCGGAGGATTTGGAGGTGGTGCTCCCTCTTCAAGCTATGGAGCACCATCTGTGCCATCTTCATCTTACGGAGCTCCTTCCTCGCCTTCCTCCAGCTACGGCGCACCTTCGTCAGGTGGAAGCGGCGGTGGCTTTGGAGGCGGTTTTGGAGGAGGATTCGGAGGTAGATATTAACTGTTAGCGAATTTCCAAGCCCTTGCCTTACAAATGATTGTGTAATTTGATTGCTGTTTAAAAGCGGCATTTTGCAAAGCTGGATTAAACTATTTTTGCAACATTAATTAACAAAAAACGAGTTCATTTAATAAAGTTACTAAATTAAGTTGCAAAATTTAATTTTATTGTACTCTGGTTTTAAATTAAATTCGGAGATTCGCTGCAATGATTAATGGGACGATTTCATTTGCATCGTAACAATGCTAAGTGTTGTACTGAATTCGCTTGGCATTAACTAACATAGTTTCTCACTTATTGTTAACAGAAGGACGCATTGTCAAGAGAGTAAATAACATTCGCAATTGAACTTGTTTGTGACAAAGAGTAGGTCATTTATTATCTCCGTTGATCTTGAGATATATTTTTAACCCAACAGATTTAGCAAACGCATCTAAAAAATTCAGGATAAGTTATGATGTTTTTTCCGCATTAGTGGTTTTTCAAAATGAAATACCAGCTAACGTTCATATTTAAAAGAAACATTGGATAAGAAAACCATAAACGGATGTTCATTTGAGAAAAAGATAACATTTCTCATCTCAAAAAAGTTTGTTCTCCATATCCACCCAGCTAAGCTATGGAAAGAGAAACATATTACGTATTGAATAGAAAAATGGGCTTATTTAGAACCGTCTAATACTGATACGTACACTTTTATAAAAGAATTAAAATATGACGTTCATATTCCTGCCACAGGAGGGAAGTTTGAAGTTGTTATTGAAGCAAATACAAAATTTAGGTAGATGGAGGTATTTAAATATAAATTTTGAGGCTCGTGATATCTGACTAAATACCGACTTTATTACATACAACAGTTTTAATGAAATCATTACAAATTTGTTTACATAAATTCATGATATTTACATACATTTACGCAGCCAATAGATTGAAATAATATATTTTTATTCTTCAGCTGCTCTATATTGTACAGCTAATTTAAACTAAAGTGGACCTCTCTATTGCCAAAACAGTTTTTACAACTCTTGACTTTATAGTTTCCTGTTGCTCAATACTTGAAGTTGTCCTTAATCTACTCTTTTGTTAGGTTCATTTTGCAACTTAATTTGTTTTAGTTAATAATCATCAATTTTTGTGCATCATTTCCAATTTCTCTTGACAGCGCGAGATTTAGATTTCCGTAAGAGTGGAAATTTATGAAATATTTCAGGTGGAGCCCCATCAAGCAGTTACGGAGCTCCAGCTGCTCCAAGCTCCAGCTACGGAGCTCCTTCCTCAGGAAGCAGCTTTGGAGGATCAGGTACAATCCCCTAACATAATTTGTATCGTGAACATATTGAAACTTACTCTTTATTTCTTGGTGAATTCTCAGGAGGATTCGGCGGCAGTAGCGGAGGCTTCAGCGCCCCGTCTTCCAGCTATGGTGCACCAGCTGCTCCTTCTTCCAGTTATGGCGCTCCTTCCTCTGGATTTGGAGGAAATGGCAAAATCCGAGGAAATGGTAACGGCCGCGGAAATGGAAACGGACATGGAAATGGAGGCAGCAGTTTGAGCCAATACTTGCCTCCTTCAACCAGCTATGGAACACCAGTAGGACCTTCCAGGTAATAAATATGAATACTCATTTATGTTGTCTCCAAATATAAATGGTGCTCTGTGTAGGCCATCATCAAACTATGGCGCTCCATCTAAACCATCCAGCTCCTACGGGGCTCCCTCTAAACCATCCAGTTCTTACGGCGCTCCATCCAAACCAAGCTCTTCCTACGGCGCCCCATCTTCCGGTAGCAGTTTTGGATCCGGCAGCTTTAGCTCGGGAAGCTTTGGCGGTTCTTTCGGAGGCGGTGCCCCTTCAAGCAGCTACGGAGCTCCATCTGCCCCATCTTCCAGCTACGGAGCACCATCCGCTCCTTCGTCCAGCTATGGAGCTCCTTCATCTGGCGGTAGCTTCGGTGGATCGTTTGGCGGTAGCGCACCAAGCTCAAGCTACGGAGCACCATCTGCGCCCTCATCCAGCTACGGAGCGCCATCATCCGGAGGTAGCTTTGGAGGATCAGGTGGATATAGCTCAGGTGGATCAGGAGGATACAGCTCCGTTGGTGGATCAGGCGGATACAGTTCTGGTGGATTTGGAGGAAATGGGGGAGGTTACAGCTCCGGAGGTAACGGAGGTGGACAGAGCTATGACAACAATGGCGGCTACGTATATTGATTGGGACGGTGGAAAAATTAATGATCGACATGTAAATAAAGCTTAGGATATTTATTATGTAGATCGTGCCTTCAGTATTAATACATTAAATTTTAAAAGTTTTGATAAATTTTAATGGTCGGTATCGTTGCTCTGAATATAGCCAGTATTTAGCTTTAGCTAGAGCGGAAAGTTTATCGTGGATTTAACATTAATAAAACTAAAGCAATTTGTTTTAAATAAATGAATATTCCACTAAATTTGTTGTTTCATTTCGATAAAATATTGTTATAGATTTAGGTATGAGTTATTGTAGCAAATGTAAAATATATCTACTTTCCTGACGAAAATGTGTTTTTTTGCTAAAATTCGTCTGAGACCGCACATATAATACAAGTAAATTGTGCAATAAGTGTAACGTTGTGTTTGTGTTTTCTCAACTTCCGTAGTCCTGCAGTTACAAAATTATGCAATAAATGAAACAGTTTGCATTTATGAATTTAGTTTAATCTCCATTTTACAACAATAATATACCCGGCTATTTCCTAAATTATTTGCCTAGTCGTTATTTTACATTATTATATATTATTTTTATACAGCAAATCTAAAGGTTTCACATCTTGAAAAGGTGACAGTCTATACTGAGTAGATTGACAAAGATCAGATGATGTTTATCCTAGATTACACTTTATTCTCTATACATTTATTTATAGGAATTTAATGTTAGTACCGTATCTAGAGAATGTATTTTTCTATGACAGAAGCATGTGCTAAAATTAGGGTTTTATATAACGAATTGCAACCATCTGTTTTATAGGCCAATAATGATAACTATGATTTTACTAAGGTACTAACATCAATAACAGAGAATAGGGAATATCATAGGTAGCGACGCAACAACAATATAATGATATGTTCTCTAGATATGTATTAGTTATAACTTTTGTGCTTCAACATTCATTAAAAATTCATACAACTACCTAAATTCCATACAACAAAATGTAACTAACAGCTTCGAATTTATTTTACTAAACAAACATGCCTGGACAAACTACAAGTTTTTTAGTTTTGAAGGCTATGATAACTCCAGTAAATATTTCATAAAATAGCTTTTTTTCACTGGTAAGATTACTATCAGTAAAATTGCTTTCTGAGTGAAGTATGTATGATTCAGATGAAACGTTTCTGGCTATAAATGATGGTGGTGTGGAAAATATTTTCTTCGATTATCTTTAACAATTATATAAAGATTATTAAGTAGAATCTTATAGGCTAAATAGAGCTAAAAAGATTTTTAAGTTATTAACAACAATAACATTTTATTACTTTTAATACGATATGTATGCACTGATATGTAATAGTTTTTCGATTACTATTCGAGATGTAATCTTTGAGGAATTAACGCATTTGTAAGTTCATTTTAGCGTAGAATAATTTAGAAATGTGCATCAAAGAGTCATTCCAGCCTTTTCGAACAAGATGAAAAATAGGTAGTATTACATTAAAGCGTTTGTATATTTTCATTTCGATTTTACAGCGATTTTTACCAGTGTTGATTTCTGCGTTTCATTTCGAATATTACAATTTCAATAAGTCTGGACCTGATGCAAGTAAATCTATTTATTATATAACGGCTGTTGAAGATTATTTAATTTCACTTTTCATCTATTAAAACGTACTATATTTCTTGTTTACGAAAAGTAGGTCCTTTAGGATTTACAGAGTGAGGTGACTCAGGTTGCATTAGCAGGGCTCACCAAACTTAAACACTCATACAAACCCGCGGTAACTTTTAATAAGAAAAATATTTAATATTTGTGAGATTTTGTAATTACACAGTTTTCAATTGTTTTGCGGACTTTTTCATGTAGCTTTTATAGTTTTTTTTGACAATGTGTTTATTCAATGTTATACAGCTAAAACTTACGATCCTATATTATTGATCATCAATCATTTGGATGCAGCCCTAAATTTTCCATAACGTTTTTGTCTTTTATATTTTTATCGTAGCTCTAGCTGTTTTTGAGAGAAATGGCAGCAAGCTTTAAGCTAGTAAGTATAGTCCAAAAAGTTTCTTTTACGAAACGCTGATCTCTGTAAAATTTTAGGTGTTTCTGCTCAAGTTGACACACTCTTAGGCATGAATGCAGCTTTTAATCGTTTTTAAAAGTTGTCTGACAAATTTCTGTGAGAGACCTAAAAAGGTAAATTTATTTTCAACCAAATTCGGTGAATTATTCCTGCAGAGGTCACTAAACATCTCATCACCTAGCTGTTTAATTCATGGCAAAACTCGTTCTACTAGTCGATTATTTCGATTATCGATCGATTAAAATTTACAAATCTGAACACTCCAACGGACTAACGTAGATTCTTTAAATTTCAACGACTAACATCAATTATGAATTCTTAATGGAAAGAAGCCGCGGACTGCAATTTGAGCTAAATATTTCGAAATTATTTGTCAATAATAATGGAATTCGGAAGAATTCATATATATTTCGACGTTTCGTTCGTGGAAACAACACAATTTCCAAAACAAATCAAACGGTATTAATTTCCAATTGACATGTTTTTGCATACAGGGAGTTCCCAAAACGAGTTCTTCAGCTACTTAAGGCGCATTCAGAATAGACAGGCAACAGTCACGCTTCAACATCTAGATGGGAAACTAAATCGATTATATTTATAGATTTGTGAATTAGCAGTGCTTTCAGCAGAAATGGACTTTAGATTCAGTTAGTCGGCAGACGGTGGCAAGTTTTACATTTTTTTCATTAAAAATTGAGTTACATCGATCTTATGTAAGTTGGTGACCAGAATAATTATTGAAGCAAAAGGGCGCAGTCGGTTTCATTAATAACGATGTCGAAAATGCAGCAACTTGGCGAATTTGCAAGTTCGGGCTTTTACATACAAAGTGAACCTCAGAAGTAATTTCTCAATTAATTATAAATTCAGCATACTGTATTTTAAAAAAGCTCTAACCCCACAATTTTTATTTTTAAACGCAATTTTTTTTGCCAAAGTTATACATACAGGATGGTCCTAAAATAAGTAAAGGCCATAAACTTATTTTTTTCAAATGGAAGCACCTATTTTTAGGCACCCACTACATTTTAATTTCAATTTTAAATTTTCCATTTAGTTCATGTTCAAGTATGATTCAGCTACCATGTCATGTACGTAAACTCTACAGGCCACGAGGAATTTACGAAGGAAAAAAAATCCAAATAGCAATATGCAAGAAGTTTTTATAAATGGCAAGAGCTTCCATTAAGAAAAAGTAACTTGATGGTAGGTATATTTTTAGGACACCCTGTATAAATAAATTTTATATAAAAAATCGCACTTTCAAATAAAAATTGACGCTTCCGTAAATTTTTCCATAAAACAACCAGTTGAATTTTAAATAAATTTTGACATTACTTTAGGGACTCACTGTATAAATAATTCATTGCATAATAACGGAAAAATCTTACATTTTGTGGCACTGTTGGAATAGGAAAAAATGAGCATTGAAAATGCGAATAAACACATTATTTCCGAAATATCAAGTACATTTGCATTTTAGGTTTGATTAATACTTTCAAAATCTTGGTAAAAATGATTATGGTTTTATTTTATTTTAAATACCTAATAGTTAGAAACTATATGTGTTACTTTAACGAAAGACAATGAGACCCTGCACGTTTTGAAAAACGGTTTCTTTCTTTCCGACTCCTTGATTAATCGAGAACTGAAATGCTGCTGAATTATTTTCTACGTAAAATGTACCATTTTTAAGCAAAAAATTGAGCCACACACTTAATTAATTAATAAAAAATTAATATTCAAATTTTGAGTGTAAAACATAACGGAATAAAGTTATAGCAAAATTATGAATATCAACGAGGTTCTTAATTGTATGAAAATTCTACTCAATCTTCGCACCATATTTTTCAAATATTGTTCGGAAACTGAAAAGCACTTCTTTGACACGCATAGCGTATGAGAAAAGTTGCTTATATTTTTTAAAAAAGTTAATATTTTTAAGAAAACCGATCACATTACAAATACTTTCAGTCAATGCATGCAGAATCATATATTTATTTTATTTGCTTTCAATGGATATTTCTCTATTGAAATCAGGCCCAGACGGTTATCCAAAGACGGCATTTTGGAGGTGCTAAAGTCACATTTCTTTCAAAAGCAAAGCGTTCATTCCACTACATCAAGCTTTTACAATTTAGTTTGGTAACTTTCACCAGGGTTAGCGGCTGGTGCACTTTTATTTCCACCACCCGCTGAAGATACAGAGCTACGTAACCTATCAACCTCCGAAGCAGAAATATCATCATCTGCCTCAAGAGCTGGATTAATTCTACCATTTCGTTCATCCTTACCTACTAGAGTGGCTGCGCCGTACATTTTTCCCATGGTACCCGATGTCATGACGGCCAGCTGTTCACCTTCTTCGGCTGGGTCTCCAACTCTCTGGATATCTTCAGGAATATTGACAACGCAATGGAAGAAGTCGTAACCCGGAGCTAGTTTGCCAGTTTCGAATACGTGCTTGGTACCCCATGAGACGAAAACGAGGGTGATCAGCGAAAGCAACATGGCAACGGATCGGAAGGGAAATTTCTGCACTTGATTCACTTCGTCGTAGCCCGGAAAATGTATAAGAGCTGGTAGGGACATTAAGGGCTCTCCACCAGAAACTCGAACTAAAAATGCTATGATGTAGGCAGCCAAGCTTCCATATGTGTTGCAATGCTCTTTGAAGTGGACCACCATTAAAAGCTGCGGGAACAGAATCACGTAGACCAGATCAGAGCACATGGACCTAAAACAAACAGCAGTTTTTAGCTGCATGGCCTTAGCTGAATCAGAAACTGGTTCTTACCATAATCCGTATATGGAAGGAATGGTCAATGCCATGACGGTGGCTAAAAAGCCAACAATTAAAATTGCCACTCTCATGACCCAAACGATTTCCATTTCTGAAGCTTTTTGCCTGAAGATCAGCCGATAGACGTTTCGTGCAAACATCGAACTAGCAGAGAGCACGCTGGAATCTGCTGATGACATGACGGCAGCGGAAACTGCCCCCAAACCCAAGAAAGACACAAAGTCTGGAGTGAGGTATTGGAGCACCATTGGCAGGATCATGCCGGTTTCTTCGGTGGTTAGAGGAAATGGACCTTTGTAGCCGGTTTCATTCCAAGCTGGAAAGTTATTGAGATGTTTAGAGAGATTGCCTGGCACTTCGGTATTGAATCGTTTACCAGTTCCTTTGGCGATTGCACCAATCAGCACTGGAGGAATGGCCATGATGACGCATCCAAAAGCAGCAACATAGCTGAGCAACTGGGCGCGGTCGGCTGATTTGCTAGACAGTACTCTCTGAAAGTAGACTTGCCACGGGATACCTCCAAACACCAAAAGCAGCCCGTAGTCTATATAGGAAAACAAATCTTCCGACTCCACTTTGCCAATCCAGTCGTAGTCCATGGAGGACAGAGACTGCACGTGCTCATTGGTCCAGGCAAATGGAATGCACATCCATAGACCGATGAATATACAGAATAGCTGAATAACATCCGTATATGCGACCGCGTAAAGTCCCCCGAACAGAGTGTAGAGTACGGCAATGCAAGCACTGAATATCACACTAGTACGATGGTCCATGTCTATGATTACAGAGAGAGTTGCACCTAGAGCCGCGAGAATTCCTGCTGCCCAAAATACCTGAAATTCAAAAATCCCTTCTTCGTTTATGATCTTTAAGTAATAGTTGTAAAATTGTTGGCATATGGCTCTCATTATATAAGGTGTCTCATCCTAAAGTTAATATATGCAAAAGCAAGCAACCTATGTGCAAGGCGTCCAAGTCTAAATAAAAATTTTGTTTTTGGTAAGTAGATTTTCAACCCTATGGCTCTTACCCCCAAAAACGCTTGTGTTTCAAGCCAATATCTCGCATCATTTCCGAAACTTTTTCAACTAGCTAAGTCAAATTTGATCTCTAAATAAAGAAAGAGTGTGATTTTTTTCATTTTCATAAAAAGAAAACTGAACGGACTCCAAACAGTATATATTTATTTTTTTACAAACTTCTTTTTGGGTATTTCGCCTCAAAAATTAAAAAATAAACACTTTAAAAAAATTTAAACATGAATTCACAGATTACGTCAGATCAAAATTAACACCACACAATAGTAAAACACCACATTTTTACCGAGTTCCAAAAATTCATAAAGTTAATATTCCTTTACGACCAATAGTTAGTAGTATAAATTCACCTACACATCCGTTAGCCAAATATCTTTTAAACATTTTAAATCCCCTAATAAATAACACAACTTCCTATATTAAAAATTCTGAACATTTTTTACAAAAATTATCAGAC